CATCGATATTTCTATCCTCCATTGAAGCAGCTTCTGAGGTAATTCTTTTTGTCAATATAGTAAATTTAGGGTTCGATTTTTTAACTATTTACTAACGGGAAGAAAATTATAAGCTAAGTTTATAATTGTATCAAATTTGGTTGCTGATGTGTTGCAGAACCCTTTAATGTTAGTATTGAATTATGAAATTTAATTACTACTCGAAGAATTTGATTTCATAATGGGGTCAAATTGGGTTGCTAATTTGTTGCAAAACCCATGAATGTAAACTCACACATTTACCTGTAATGAAAACTTTATCACTGATTCACTGGTTTATGATTGAAGAACAATTACTGGTTGTTTTGCTGCAAAGCATTTGTGTAGGGCGGATCTAGTAGGGGTTCATTGAACCCCTGATTTTTTGAAAAAAAATTGAAATTTTTTTTTTAACAAAAAACCGAAAAAGGGTTAAATAGAATATATGTATGATATATGTAAATAACTCACAATTTTATTTTTATTTTTTTCATTTGCCTGCTTCCTCTAATTTCGACATTTCCACTCTCATTTGTCATTTCCCCCAAATTGTAAAACCCTAACTAGTAACTCCCCTAAATCCTGTCGGCCTGTCCCACAGGCGTCGCCTCCGGCCTCCCGTGCTCAGTGCTCCACTTCTCTGTCATCCACTCATCCATATTCCGTGGCTCTGTAGGTGAATAACTGAATTTTACTTCTTAATTCCTTATATTTTACATACTATCTGTTTTGTTAATTTGTTTACAGATTTATATCTTGAATTCTTGATAATATATTATGATGTATTGATTTTTATTATCTAAAAAAATTCTGAAAAAAGATTGTATGCAAATATGCAATTCGTATGTTTTGTTATCCGTTTGGATTTTGGAAGTTGGATTATTGGAACCCACTTTTCTGGAATTAATAATCCCAGAAATACTTTCAAGTTATTCAAATCAATATCAAATTATCAATGAATATACCATTAATTCTTGATAATACATGTATGTTTGTTGTGGGAATTTGAGATATAATGAATTAATGATATATAATGCAAGTGTGTAAAAAATAAGTTGCGGAATAGTATGGGTGATGATAGGTTAGTCACTTTTGTTGAGAGAGATTTATTTTCTAGAGTTAGTGATGATGATGTATTGAACCGCTTTCAAAGTATGAAAACTCGAAGAATAAATCTGTAATTTTTTTTTCTATTTGTATTGTGTAATTTATTTGCAATCCATGATTGGAACTTATGTACTGAATATTTAATTATTATATTTTCATTCCATTGTTAATTACGATTCTGAACTTTCGAAATTTTGAACCCCTATTTGGAAATCGTAGAGACGCCACTGTGTGCCTGTTAACTTATTATACTACAATTGAAGTTGTATTCCTTCAATTTAAGGAACATGGATTTCTTCTTATTTTATATATTCGCTTATTTATTCAACTCTTAAGATTATATGACCAAGAAATGGGTTAAAGAATAAAAGGGAAACAAACATGTTAATACTTTCAACAATATGGCGTTGAGTCGTTTTATTTGCTCAAATTGACATACTATTACACCTCGTATGTGTGATGCTATCAGTTGATATTGAGGCTAACAGTATATGGCTATGCATCTAAAATATTGTGGTATGTGTACTGCTCGCTCTAGGATCGTTATCAGTACCTGCATTACCTTTTTGAGCAAATGGCTTACATTGAGGGCATGTTTGGATTGGGGAGATGTATTATTAGGGTAATAAAAGTCAAACTAAATAAAATGAAAGTGAAAATAGGGAAGGAGGAGATAGTGATGGTGTGATTGTAAGGAAAATTATGTAGTGTTGATGTAGTATGAGGTGAAGAAAGAGGAACTAATACCCTCATTTTGGGGGTAATAGTTACACTAGGGGGAGGGTGGGTAACTATTACCCTCAGAGGGTAATAATTCTTCCATCTTTCTCTTTTCCTCATGGCACAATTACTTTATTTCATTTGTAAACACCATGCCTCCTACAACAACACCTATAATTACTTATGTTTTTTCAAGTTTGACATTTATTACCCCCTTAATATATTACCCCAAATCCAAGCAAGGCCTAAGTTATGCTTGCCTGCTTAATAGATAATTTGGATTATCTCTAAACATCATGTGGTTTATTAACATAACCAGAGTTTCTTTGAGGAATATTGTGTAATAAAAAGGTGGAATACTTGTCAATATATAGTATTAACATGCACAATTTTACAGTTGTAGGGCTGATGAATCATGAAGATGAAATGACAGTGGACGTTTAGCATGCAGGGTTGTAGCTGATTTATGTTTTTATACTTTCATTAGACTGGCCGTATCCATTCAGAAAAAAAATTTAGTACATCGTCATCATGAATTCTTTCTCATTTTCCTCATCTTTCTTGTGTCCATCATCCTACCAAAAACCTCCACTCTCTAATCGATTAATACTCCATTCTAATTGCCTCCACCAGTATTCTCAAAGCCGATGCAGTTTTCCTCATCGCTCTGTTGGAGTTTCCTATAATCAGTTTTATTCGCCCCATATACGCTACTCATTAGTTTGTGCTGCAACTCCGCAAGAAGGGGTTGTTGCTGTTATGAATTTTGATGAGTTAGTTGAGAAAGATTGGTCAATCCTTGAATCTGGCAGCACAAGTTCTAAGGAAGAACATGACAATAAGACTGATCAAATCATCTCTGCTGGAAATATTGTAGAGACCTCAAAGGTCCTGGTTTCTATAGGTTCAGATGAATTTGTTGATCAGTTGGTCAACTCTTCTCCATGCCAACTTTTGCTCATCGTTCACGAGTCCCTCCTATCACTTGCATGTATTAAAGAGAGGCATGACAAAGTTAAGTGTTGGCAAGGAGAATTAATATATGTACCTGACAAGTGGGCTCCCTTGGATGTTGTTTTCCTTTATTTCTTGCCAGGTTTGCCTTTTAAGCTCGACGAGATCTTCAAAACACTTGCTAGTCGCTGTTCACCAGGTAAATATCACTCATCTCATTTCTTATGTCGATGTGATTTTTTATTTTTAATTTTTAATTGCAACTCTTGACAAACTATTTTTTGAAAGACAAAAGGCAAAAACTCAAACTAGTCCTAAAGTACTGTTGATGAGTCATTGCACTTGCAGGTGCAAGAGTGGTGATCAGTCATCTCCAAGGTAGGCAGGCATTGGAGCAACAACGACAACAATACCCTGATGTAGTTGTGTCTGACTTACCTGAGAAGATGACTTTGGAGAAGGTTGCATCTAACCATTTATTTGTGTTAAAGGAATTTGTTGATGATTTAAGCTTTTATCTGGCAGTTTTGGAGTTCAAGTCTTGAACTATTTCGTTTTTGTGAATTTTGTTGGAGGAATATGTTATTGAACCAAGATATTACAGCTTTTCAAAGCAATGTCGGTGAAATGGATGAGTAGAATGCAAAGCATGAAAATCTTCCATTGCTAGTTATGGTGTGTTGATAATTTAATTTAATCTTCAGTTCTAAACCATTTTGTGTTATTTTGGAAGTTTACTTTAGTGATACATACTACATATCAACTACATAGAATTCTGAAACACTTATGTTATCTATACTAATATTTTATAACATGAACTTTTGCAAGTCATACAAAGTGCCACGTGGCATTTCCCTATTATCCATTTGTAGTTAAATATTTTTATATTTTTTTATTACATTAAATGAAACATTTTCATTCATGCTTTTTCATCATATAGTTTCTGATTTCCTTAGATAAATGTACTCTTTCAATGCTTATTTTGAATTTTGATGACCTCCAATAATAGTTACTAAAAACTTCAGTTTTTAATTATGATACTCATTATCAATTGAAATTCTCTTCCTTCTCCCCATTTTATTTCCATGTCTAAAATTTATTTTCCTTCTTATTTTTCTATTTTGAATTTTACAACATTACACTGCAATTGAGTTGATTTCATAATTTTGTAAGACCATTTGGCCAAATTCTGTATTGATCAGTTTCGTACTTTCATCAAATTTATCACCAAAAGGTTTGTTTTCTCTAAGTTTAATTCCCTCTTTTTTTTTTCAATTGCATTACAATTTTAATCTCAATTATAATTATTGTTATAAATTAAACTTTTTTTTATGGATATTCAAAATTTATGACTTAATGATGCTATAGTTTTATAAAATTGAATATTTGTTGGGTCTTTAAAATCGGTCAATATTATTTTTGCAAAATTAATCATGTGCATGCATTATTTTTTTTGGAAAATTCCTAAATACTACTTCGTATATAGCCAAGTCTCCTAAATACTACTTCATATATAGAAGTTGGTAAAATCTATTTATCTTGCTTTTGTAATTTGAAATTTTAAAATTTGTGGGTTTTCAAGTTTCTTGTATTACTTTATTGGTTGTTGGATTTTTTACGTTTTGCTAACTATTGAATATTATGTTTCAAATTTCTGTTCTATTCATAATTCTAGATTATTCAAGCTAATTTTTTATTTTAGCTATTTTTTTTTTTTTTTTTTTAAGAAAAAAATCTCCCAAACGTTTTCAATCTCTTAAACTGACCAATTTTCAAATTTTTTGTCTCTTCTTGGTTTTCCTTTATGTCCCAAACGTTTTGATTTTTTTTTTTTTTTTTTCTTTTTTTTTTGTGTTTTTCAATATTATTTTTGCTAACATTTGAAACAAAATGAGGAAACAAAATTTTATTTACTAGCAGAGTTATTTTATTTGCTTGATGCAATTTATTACTTAATGTTACGTATGATATGATGTATTATTTTCTTGTTAAGAATATATTGCATTAAATTTACGTACGTAATATTACATTTTAATTTACTAAAAAAGTGATTTATATTTACAAATGTTTTTGGTTTTCTTTCAAAAAAAAAGTTTTTTTGATTAAAAAAAAAAAGTCGAAATATATATATTTAGACAAAAAAATTATTCCGTGCATCGCACGGGTTAAATACTAATTTTATTTATAATAAGCGGTTTACATCAGTCAAGTACAGCAAGGTTTTGGTATTCTTTTCCTGAAAGGGTTATTCTCATTACATCCTCTGCAGTTGTGACTGACTTGATTTCTGCAGATCTCCAAACAGCGTCGTCATGCAGGAAGAAAGCAAACAAACTTCTCGAGAAACCATTAATTGTCAGCAATCTGTTATGGAAAACAGCCTTAATTGTAGGAGGACCATCATTGATACCCTCAATGTTCCAGAACACAATCTCGGGCACCTGATCGTAGCCAAACTTCTGGTAATTTTTCCAAACAGCCCTGTAATTCCACCCCCAACTGCTGTTAACTGCTTTCCTGAATTCCTTATTGGTGAAAACAAAAATTCTCTCCACCATTTCCTGTTTATGCAGCTTCTGTGCAACAGCTGTTTGCAATACTTGATTAAGAATAGTTTCAATATTCACCCTCTCGGTGCACTTCAGCTGTTTCATGAAGTTTACCTTCGATTGAAGATCTTCCCCTTCGATTTTGCAAAGCTTCGGCAATTGATGGAACCCGTATACAGTTCCCTTCCACCAGTCGTTGCTTAGTTCAGAAATCAATAACCCCATCGAGATGCAGACGTCTTTTGTAGTATCTTTCATCTTGTCAGAGATGTCACAAACAGCAAGGGAGCTCCTCAGTTTCCCTGTACTTGAAAAGGCTTGCACCATATGCCGCCATTCTAACTCTTTCACTCCAATGTTCTCTTCCTTTAGAGAAGCTATTATACTGAGCGGAGTTGAAGAGAAATACCTCAGTTCACCATTAGTCTTAAGAAACATTGACGAAATCATCTGGTAATACCTTAACTTGCTGGCAGTGTCCTTCGTCTTCAGCATCTTCTGGTAAGCTTTCTTCATGAAGAACAATGTACTGTCTTGGACTTGTTTGTCACTGCCTGCTAGTCTTCCTTGTGTTTCTTTCCCTAATGCTATTCTGAGCGGACCTAGAACCTCTTTCCTCAGTCTATTCCGGACCCGATAGGCATAATGTATGTCTTCAATGCCTTCATAATTTGGGTCTGATTCCCGAGGAAAAACCTTTTTGGCAATGCTCTTACACAAGAGGGTGTACCTATCACACGACGAGTCAATTGATGGGCAATCTCTTGCTGCAAAGCTTAGTGCTTCAGCATTGCTAGAGTTGAGTGTTTCTACATCTGAACGCAAGAGTTCTGCAAAAAGATCAGACACTCGTTCATGGAGGAAGCGGTAGGCTGGATCCTGTACATATTTACACACTGCTCTCCTCGCTATCTCCATCTTTTCATCCTCTCGCGACAACCTAAAACTTCCTGTATTATCACCTTCCTTGACTAGCCTATAGAGGATCTCAGCAAAATCCCTCAATGTTCCAGAACTAGCCAAGTCTCTCAGATTACAGGCAAGGGTTAACGGGTGGTTTTTGTGAAGCCAAAGGGCTGCCACATAAAACCCTTCCTTACAGGACAATCTCTCTTTTCTGAGAGTCCTTAGGTAGCATATTAGCTTCAATGTGGTTGAGGGATCATACTCCCAAGCCTTGTCTAGCAACTCGATAAGGTTTTCCGGTGATGTTTTCGGGTTAATGGCAAAGAAGAGTTGAGCACAAGGATTTTGAGGGACTGTTAAAGGCTGTTTTGTGGTAGGATTGGGTGGTTTTCCAGCAGGAAGGGAATGTGGTAAAAGACATCTTCGGAGAATTGGCGGACCTATTAATTGCATAGTTTTATGGTGTGATTGATTTTGTGTTTGTTCATCCCTCTATTTATAGGGATTATTTGCTTGGCCCCCAAGCATATAGTAGTACTAGGTTTAGAAATTTTCTAAAATAAAAAATAAAAATGAGTAATTTCGCAAAAGCTTGCAAAAGAAGTAAAAGATAAACTTATTAACATTTTTGAAATTATCTTATTAGTCGTTAATTGGGTTTGTTAGCTGATGCATAGGAATGGCAATCTGCCACTCTCTTCCATTGGACGGGTTGTGATTCAAATCTTTCTTGACCCATTAATAGGGACAATAATATATGCTTTCCTCCTTGTTTAAAAACATTCTTGTTCAATTATTATTTTGCTGATGTATGATGTTCTGTATTATTCCATTCCATTTCATTGAACCAAACACTTCATTGGTGTTTTTTTTTTCTTTTTTTTTTTTTTTTTTTTTGGGGAGGGGGGGGGGGGGGGGGGGGGGGGTGAGGGGGGTGGGCATTTGGTTGGTAAAGGGGAAACAGAATGAGATTAAAAGGAAAATAAGGTGAATAAAAAGCTAATTCTTTATTTTTGTATAGTTGTTTGATTTACATCAAAGGGAATAACCTGAGGGAGACCTTTTGGTGCAGTGGCACAAGAGGTCGCCTCGCTTCCTTGAGGTGCGAGGTTCAATCCTCATCAGCAACAAATCCCCCCACTCCTCTAAGGCATTGCAAGCTAGGTTCCTTGTGAACAGTTGCGGCCCGGGTGGGCATTTGGTTGGTAAAGGGGTAACAAAATGAGATTAAAAGGAAAATAAGGTGAATAAAAAGCTAATCCCTTATTTTTGTATAGTTGTTTGATTTACATCAAAGGGAATAACCTGAGGGAGACCTTTTGGTGCAGTGGCACAAGAGGTCGCCTCGCTTCCTTGAGGTGCGAGGTTCAATCCTCGTCAGCAACAAATCCCCCCACTCCTCTAAGGCATTGCAAGCTAGGTTCCTTGTGAACGGTTGCGGCCCGGTTGATCTTTACAACCACCACTACCCCTTCTTTTACAACAACCACCACTACAATTTCATTACTACATTAAAGAGAATATATTAACATGTTTAATATTGTAAAGGTTGAGAGGTTTTTATTTTATGAATTTGATGTCCACATTACAAAGAGTGCAAATACATATTGTAATGTAATTTGGTTTCTTCATAATTTGGTTTTACATTTAATTGTCTAAATTAATTATTTTTCTATGCTATTGTAATTTTGTTGTAATGGATGCAAGTTTATTCATTGGAGTAGTTAGTTCTAAGTTAATGGGATAAGATATTTTGGTCATGCAGCTTTTTGGTTGATGCATCGTATTTATGAAACTAAAGGGTAATCAATTGAAGAGGCTCAAAGTGTTAGCAACTGGAATCATTGAAGGGTCAAAGGGAAATAATGAGGGTTACTAGAAAGGTGCCTCTTGTCATTACTTTGTATGATCTTTTTTTAACCTTTTTTAAACTGAGTCGAGTAATTAAAGCTAAGGTCAAGCAACTGATTAGACTATTATCATTGAATTGAAGCACAAATGGGATTAAAAAAAAAAAAAGAGGAAACTACAATTTATTTGAAACTACATGGCTTTCATGGAATAGAAAACCTAAACCTATAGACATAAACTCAATATAAGGAAAGGGAAAGAACAACTAGCTAGGGTGGAACTCTTCGACTCGACCTAGTAGGATTTGAAAAGGACATGAAAATAATTTAAAATATTTGATAAGGGCTAAGTGTCCAAATCAGTTGGAACCCAAGAGGTTTGCAAGAATTGTTTAGTCCTTGATCATATCATGCAACTTCTGTTTTAGGACCTAACGAGTATTAACATGCTCTTCTTAGGTTTTGAAAATAATTTTGAAATAAGCTAGAAGTGTGACATGGGCTAGACTTAGACCAACCAAGTGACAAGTAGACACGTGTATTCTATGGACTTTGACTTGAGTATCAGTTGGATTGACTTGAACTTAAGTGAGACTTATATTTGGACTTGAGTGTGTAACCTGGATTTAAGTAGACTTAGCTTGAATTGGACTAAAGAGACATGGGATTAGGCTTGTGTGAAATGGGACTTGAACTTAGACTTCGACTAGACTTAACAAACCTAAGATTTGGATTTGACAAACATTGGATTGGGCCTCTTGAAATTGGACAATAAGTTTTGATTTTAAAAAGAACCCCTTAATTTTTTTTTTTTTTTTTTTTTTTTTTTTTTGAAAAAGAGCTTGACTTGTTGGGCTTTTAACTTTACAAATCCTAACTCAAAGTTGGATTTTGACTTGAAGTTGGACTATACATGGCTAGGGCTCGAGGTTTCACAACGGTTAGGAAAAAAAAAATTGAGGTAAAATGGCTTGACTTGAAGGTTAGACATGGTTTGACTCAAAGCTAGATTATACATGCTTGGTTTGACTTGAGATCAGTTGGAGTGTGGTTCGACATGGCTCATGACTTGTGTTATACGTTAGTCATGAGACATGAAATAATAAAGAGGAGTACATAGAATGGGAAAACAAATAAGATAAACAAAGAGTAGGAAGATGGAATAAATTATAACTCATGAGATATGACTACTAGAATAGGATAAGAATTCTATGATCCCATATGATAGAATTTTGAAATGAATTATCCTAAATGAGGTAGTAGATTTCTCATGTTTTAGATCTAAACAATTTTGACACAAAAGGCTAAAAAAAGTAAATTTAAACACCTAAGACGACATTCTTAAAGTGGACAAGTTGTCGTATCTTGGTCATAACTTTCGCCGGAGAAACCAATGCTAAATGAAATATATAATCTCGAACTACAATTTCTTAACTAGTACGCCTCATGAATCCAAGTAGAACATCAGATGTGGATGTTACAAGTTGATGCTTGTATAGACTACATGAATTAAATTTGGTCTATCTTAGACTTAAAAGGAAGACTTCCAAGACTTTACTAATTAGTTAGGAAGGTAGGCAAGCAAAAATAATAATATGCACACTTAAACGCGTAGTGACACATGACGTGTATAAAGTTCCAACCCAAGGATAGGATCTACGTATAAAACTTGTAGTTAGGCTTAGGATGTTCAAAAGAGTTCATGCATGGTTAAGAGGTTGATGTGTACTGAGGTGGCCTTGCATTGTGAGGGCGTCACGTAAGAATGTTTATATGCTTTGTTCCCCAAGGAAAGGTCACTACCATGGTTTGGTGAGTTTAGTACTATAACGTATCACAATCTTAGAGCACTAGGTTGGTTTAGTCTAAACCTCCAAGGGCTAGCCACAAACATAAACCCCCAAAGGCTAGCCATGAACATAAACACGTTCTTATGTAGTAATTTCAGTTAGCATATTTCAACCAACACAAATTGGTGAAATGCACTAATTGTCGATGCAAAGATGCTTATGTCATCATTTCAATAAATTGCATAGGAACTTTTCAAGTCCCATCCACTTGCTCACCTCAACTAGACACCAATCATTCAAATTGATTGCTAATTAAGATGTTCCCTAGATGGAGTTGCCAAATTCTAGGCGTCAATGAGTTACCGAGCGTACCCCATTAACATATGTGAATATATATTCTTGGCAATATGTAGACCTAGTACGATTAAGGACATTATAGGGGACAAAATAGTTATCCACTAATAAGTTTTTAAAGGAACTTATATACCACGAAATTTTGTCTAAAACTAACCCATAAAAAGTTTGTTTTGTAAGCATTTGATTTATTTTTTTTTATTTTTTTTTTGGTTGGTAAAAAACTACCCCCATATATGCAAAAACTTTGTCTAGCACTACCGTTTTGTCCACTTTTGCCATTTGTAGGGCCCACGTTTTTGCTCCTTCGGATGTTCTTTTCCCCAACCTTAGTAAAATAACCCTAGATATGAACTCACCAAATTCTACCAACGAGTAATTTTATAAGTTATTTCAGTATTCATTTTCCATATAAGGGGTTTAGGGTTTTTTATTTTCTTAAATTATCTTAATTAGAGACTCAATATAGAGTTTAGGGATTGCATTGAATTACAGGTTAGGGTTTCAATTGAATTAGGGGTTTTACATTTCGAGACTTTGATGTTTCAATTCAATAGACTTTTTTTTTTTTTTTTTTTTTTTTTTTTTTTTTTTTTTGGGGTTTACCTTTTTTTTCATATGTAGAGTGTCTAATTTATCTTACCATTCTACTCTGCAATTCTGAACAAATGCAATTGTAGCATTCCACCAAAATTGGAGACATCATGGGCTACAACAGACTTTGGTAGAAAGTTTTTGGCATTGTATCATAATAGGGACTCAATTTAGAGTATACAATTGTAGCTTTTCATTTCTTTTTTATTCTTTGATTTTTTAATTAAAAATAAAAACTCTTTGTCTAAAATGTTTTATTTTAGAACTCAACTATTATTGTAAAACTATCATTTCCCCAATTAATTCCATTTGACAAATTACAATTATCACCTCTAATATGTGAAAAGTTGTCGTACACTTGTCAAAATAAAATCTTAACAAAACCAACTAACAATGTAGTAAGGTCGAATCCACAGAGAGATGACTATTCAATCTAACTTTTAAGGATTGGAGAAACTAAACAATGTCATTAAATTGGGATTGAAAGGTAGTTTAAAGTAATATAATAATACAATTAATAAAAAGGCCTAGGATTATGGTTCACCATGCTTATATTTCTAAATCTATCAAAATATCAATAATAATTCAATAAATCTAGTATCTAGAGCAATTTCTAAGCCTACTGTCGGGTCTTAACGCTCTCAATTTAACATATGCCGTATGGTCGCTAACATAATCAAAATTGCTAATTATTGTAGGTAAGCCTTTAAAAGTATGATATTTCAATTTAAACTCTTATTAACAATAATTAATCAAATGATTGATCAGGTTGCAAGATTAACAATAAAACACTATCAATTAGATAAATCAATAATTAAAATATTGGGCACATGCCTTCTGTTACCTCAAGCTGTCATTATCAGAA